CTAGCAAATTAAAAATTTATCAAAAAAGAATTATTATTTTTTTGCCAACTAAAAGGAACTAAACCCTAAGATTGGGAAGATTTAACCCTAGGGAAACCTTAACCCCAACAAACTAAACAAAACTATGGTTCGATTCATCGCAGCTAGAGATATAGCTCGTATATGTAGTGTTCGGTTAGTTTTCGCGGGTGGTTTCATACTCTCGTTGTACTTATCCTTCTTATATAATTTGATACCAACATTTATATCATATGATCGCCTATAACTATTTTTAAAATTGATTTCGATTAGTACTTTGTTTTCATAAAAGTAAGTTTTCAATCATATTTTTTAGAATTTATACATATACCATTTATAATTTTAGCAAAGTAAAAATTCACCAAAAATGTCATTAGTTTTTTCTTGTAAACTATCTAATCCCTAAGATTAGAAAGTCTTAACCCTAGGGAAGCGTTAACCCTAACAAACTAAACAAAACTATGGTTTGATTCTACGTAGCTAGAAATATAGCTTGTATATGCTGTGTTCGGTTAGTTTTCGCGAGTGGTTTTGTACACTCGTTGTACTTATCCTTCTTATATAATTTTATACTAATATTTATATCATATGATCGCCTATAACTATTTTAAATTGATTTCGATTACTGCTTAGTTTTCATAAAAGAAAATTTTCAATCATATATTGTTTAGAATTTATACATATGGTCAAAACAAAAATTCATTAATACATATAGTAAAATAAAGGGAAGTCAAAACAAAAAACCAAGATGAAAACTTAAATTTTTATAAATTCATTAGAAAAGTGTAAATTAAATACTAAATTTGTAGCTATTAGCTAACATGTAATCCAATTGTCCAAATTCACATCAAAATTCAAACACATACAACCAATTTTAAAGCACCTGACCATCCATATAATTTATTTGCCAAGCAAACAAAGCTTTTTAATATTTTTATATCTCTCCGACGTTTTCTCTCCAAAATATAAACGATAAGAGCGAGAAGATTGGGATAACATCAATCAAAGTTTGTTCTCAAAAAAACATCATTCAAAGTAGTTGGTCTCTATTCTTGTTAGATCAGCTCCAACAGGATAAGTTACAAAACTTATGTAAACATTAATAAAACACGATGAAAGTCAAATTATCATAAAGCACTTGACCATCCTTGTAATAAAAAAATGATCTAACAGAGAAGTAGAGCTAGATAAGATAAACTCTTGCTATCGATTAAATAGATAATTCTTCTAAACACGACCAATAGGCATCCAGTGATTAACGTTTTTTCCACACGTATATAATATCCTATAAGGTACACTTTGAAGTGTCGAACCAACAAATCCTCATAAAAATTTTCACCATAATCTCTTCTTCCACATATACTTTATTGGAACCGTAATCTCCCTCATATTTTATTTATTTATGTAAAAAAATTACTCCAAATTTTTGCATGCAAAGCTCTTCAATGTATGTCAATCTCCTTGATTCCTTTCTACAATGAAATCCTCTAGAATCTCCAATGCTCTGGCCGACGGTTGATCTCTCCATAGAATTTCCATATAAACAAAAAAGAGCTAAATCAATCAAGTATGAAATAAATCAAAGTCAAGCGAGAACGGATCAACAAAATCCCAAATACTCCCCCAATGAGTACTTTACTATCAATAACGATAGTAAAATACACTCGCCTCGACCTTTGTTCGTTGTTTCTTTTTTTCTAAAAAATTACAATTTAAAGAAAAACGAAAATCACCTAGAGTTTACCTAGAGAGATCGATGTGAATAAAAAAATAAACTGTAAACGAACTTGATATGAGTTTACCTAGGGTTTTTAAGTCTTTCCTTCTCTTTTAAATATACTCTTTTTTTTTTTAAGAATTCAGAGTCGTAATTAAAATACGGAGAATAAAGTAGCAACACACAAACCAAGCAAAACGTAATGGAACCTTACTATAACATATACTCACTGTCTTGGTTTGCTGCATCACCCATGTCAAATATAGTTCTAGAAAAGAGCCAGCAATCATTGAAATCAATAAACCAAAAACTGAATCATATATCAAGAAAAGATGAAAAAACAAACCGCATGTATTTTTGATCATTGAAAGAAACCATATTAGGATAAAAAGGTGATTCTTGTGTATAGTAGGTGTGAGAGGTCGAGACTCAAGATCTCGTAAATAAGTCTTAACGTCGAAAAATTGTTTGACCCAAATCGGGAAATCAACGATGATTTGTGTATAGTAGGTGTGAGAGGTCGAGACTCATGATCTCGTAAATAAGTCTTAACGTCAGAAAATTGTTTGACCCAAATCGGGAAATCAACGATGATCGATCGCACGACTGACGATTACCAGAGGGCAATCTTCTCGATACGTTCGCTACTTTGTAAAGATAAACAAACCATCATTAGTAACAACACTGCAACTTTTTCTATGATCGATGGAAAATATATCAAATCCTCAAAACCTGAAAAATAAGAAAATAAATTAGATATTTGTTTTACGTAGAGAACATTAATAATTATTAAAGAAGATGATGAAATA